ACGAGGAAACAGCTTTATCGCCAAATAAACCTGGGTAGAATTTGTCTGTGTAGAAGCTGAAAAGTAATCTGCTGTCAGATCATTCAAACTGCTGAGAGTCTCGGATTTTGCCACTTCTATAATGATTGTTGGTTGCGCTTCTCTGGGTGCAGGTGGCGGGATTTGTCTTGGTTCAGCTATAACATCAGCACAATACTTACTGTTATCACTAGTGATAATGTCCTGCTCGCTAATAACGTTAAGTTGTCGGTTGCTCCAAATTTTCAAATCACTAGCCAATTCTTGTGCTACAAACCCATGAGCAGAACTCAGCATTTTGTACGTAATGATTTCTCCCTCAACTAGACGGATGTAAATGTTGGCCTTTTTCAGTTTCCCTTCCCCACGGAACTTGCAGTATCTTTCAAGCGACACGTCACTAAATACTACAATTTTTCCTGACTCTTTTGTAGTTGTACTCTCTGGCGTTGTACTCTCTGACGGTGTACTTTCTTCTATTAAACTTTCCTCCCTATCAAGTTCGAGCAGTCTGTCTTTTGCTATTTCAAGTTTTTCTTCAATGTTGCTTATCGACATTGTGAGAAAATGGTTTTCAATCAAATAATTACTGGTGTCTTTTATACACAATCAGTGACATCACATTATCTGCGTCGTGTGTCAATTGGTATGTGAAAGACTTGGTAGATCACCTAAAAATGTTTGTTTTTAGCATGTATTAATAAAAAATTTTCTTGGCAAAAACAGTTCTCTCGGGAGGGCACAAAAAATAAAAACGCAGTAACTCTGTAGGAGAAATTTTTCAAGTCCGGGCGAGACATTACGCAATTAATATATGAATGTATGATTGTGCATTTACAAGGAAGCGACTCAGAGCTTACAAAGCTAATATCTATTTTTTTTATTCTGAAATTTCGAGGACATTATTGGGCGGAGAACATAAACCTTCGGTGAGTTTTACTAAGATCGATATATTTCTGACTCAGCATGTTCTATGCATAACTGATGACCATTTTATTCTATCCAGAATATCGATCTTAGGACAAATGAAATTGGATTAGAGTTAATGTTAGGATATTGTGCTAGTATAGATAGCTTAGATGAACGAAATACTGGTGTGATCTGTAAGCATTAGTATAGAAACCATTTCACATTGTAAAAATAAGTTTATGTATTATCGAATCATGTAATTTATTTTCTGTATTAATAAAGCCACATTTAACGGTGTAATTCTGATGAGGATATTACCTCGTTTATATCTATGCTGACGAACTTTTGAATTATTCCCATTTTGTATTAAAAATATCAACCGCTCAAATTACAATGGATTCATTAAGAGAGCTAAATACTAAACTCTTAGCTGAAATTTCAGAGCTTAGGAAAGAGAATACTGAAATTCCTGAACTTAGAGAGAAGTTACTAAAGTTTGCTAAGGTTGAGGCTGAGAAAATGGAGTTGAGATGGGAGCTTAAGGCCAGAACCGATGAGCTGGAGAAGACTATAGCGGATTATTCAGTTAAGATTGGCAAACTTAATGCCGTAATCGTGGAGCTAGAGAAGACTAATGCAGTTACCACTAAACTCGAATCCGAGAATGTTGAGCTTAAAGCTGAGATAGCAAAATTAAGGTATGATGTCAATGAAATCAAACAGCAAACCTTCCCTCAACCGGAGATGTTGCCAGAGGTAACGGTTATTTCTAAGGAAATGGTTTTAGGAAATGGGCAGAATAATAATACTATGGATTCGAACACTAACACAATGAATTCAAATACTAGCGAAGCATCTTTTGGCAATATTCAGGTATCTGATTCTGTAGTAGACCAGCTAAATAATGAAATAGGACGAGCAGTTACCTTTGGTGACGCACCTAGTGATAATGCTAACACCGAACCATTAGAAGATAAGGAAACAGACGATTTCTTGGATGAGGTGCATAAGAAAAGGGTTAGTGATGAGATTAGGAAGAGGAAGCGGGAAAAAAAGCTTCAGGGTGAATTGATTGTCCAGGAATCATCCCTAGCAATTAATACCAGCTGTGAAACAGACCTCTCCACGACTAACACTGAACATGTAACTCTTCCAGAATAAGTAGTCAAAGAATCGATTTCAAAGGAATCATTTGCAGAGTCAGTGGTACCCTGTGAGTTGAAACCTTCTGGTCCAGGAAACAAGCAGAACACTCCGCCTAAAAAAATACCCTATAATCAGAAAGTAGAACAAGATTTAATATGCGAATTACTTGAATTTATCAGATGTCATGATTTTACATCCTTACCGAATTCTATATCTAGCAAACATATTCCAGATGTTCCAGTCGTCACCGATCTAACTTCAGGTTCTGTATCTCATTTAGCTCATTTATTCGACAAGGCTGAAAAAACTGGTCAGAAAGAAAAATTACGATGGTATTACTATAGCGAGGAATACGAAAAAAAGGTTATAACCCTTAGTTCTGAAAATAATATTAGCGATCAAATGGCAAGAACGCAGATTTATGATGAAATGGAGCTGTATCTCCCCGGTAAAAGAGAGAGTATTTGCGTAAGATGACACAAAAAGCTAAAAACATCTATACATTGTTCAAAGGAATAGGAATAGATAAAGTTGGAGTAGTTACACCTAGCACTGATGCGATTTCTAGGCTAACTGATGCACAAATCCAGAATATAATAAATCTTTATACTGATGAACTAACCAAATCTCAAAAATTGATCAGTGTGAACAATTGTTCACGCGCACGTGATCTATCGGCCGAGTCTGAATCGAAAAAATTGGATACTAAAGTACCACCTATTCCATTAGCTCGTGTCTCTAATAATTCTTTGGGTGATTCCTCTAAAATAGATCCAGCCAATTCGCCCAAAGCTGAGGTGAGTACATCATCCACAACTTCTTCTAGTCAGATAAATAAATCTAACCAATCCAGACTTCCGATTTCTATTTTACCTGATGATCCAGAAGAGAAACGAAAACATATAATTGGGTTAGTGCTAGAGCGGTTCCCTTCTCTATATTTAAGCGATAGTAGTGAATACGGTGAGCGATTTAATCTTAATAGTTCAACGCTCTGCCCACTATGTAATGGAGATCATAAAGAAGAAAGTTTATGGAATGATATAAGAGGTGAATGGG